CTCCACTGTTAAATACATCAGAGCAGAAAAATCAAGACTGCAAGACAATTAAACATAAGGGATGCACACCTTGTACTGATCAGTTGGGCCAAGTTTGTTCCAGGGCTCTGGATTATTCTTGCGATCCCAGCTGCAGAAAGAAGAGTTAAAGAGTAACTCCTAGGTACATGGCAACCAACTTGAAAATTCTCTTGTATGCAAATACGAAAAACAAACACATTTTTAATTAATAAAACGACATGACTTACCAGACATCAGGGTTTCTCAAGCCCAGACGGGCGAGGTACAACAGAGACATGGCTGCTCCTCCACCGATGAAGAAAAAAAGGGGGATCAGCTGTAAGAGACAAGAAGATAAAGTATCTTATCAGCTGAGAGAAGCCTAAAGCTCTCAAGACAATGACACTCAACTACATGTTTACACTGAAAACACGCCCCTGATCACGTAGACAGCCTCTGGAATGAAACACGAAACTGACAGGGGCTCAAATTGGCCAACTTTAACTACCATAACTATAAAATATATATACACACATATATTTTGTCGAAAAGAGAGGCGCTTTTGTGGGTTCTATTAATAGTTCACAAGGACTTGCTAACCCAATGTAGCCAGCTAACTAGTGGGAACAGCTATTTAGAGCACATGAAAAGGCTCTTCGTGGCTAATAATCAACAACCATCGAATGACTAAAGTCGTGACCTTATTTAACTGAAAGTCATCAGCTGCCAGAAGGATCACTCTTAACTAACAAATTACACAGAAAAAATGAAAACAGAAACACCGCTACATACTTTGATCTCTCAAAGTCAGTGCGGTCAAACGCAGAGGCTAATCAAGCTAGCACTGCTAACTGGCAACTTAGCCTAGTACCAGCCTGGGCTCTCAAAATGACTTTTAACCTGAATATAGTTACAATATACTTACAGCTGGGTGGTTTCTAAGTTGTTTGCGGACTATGGCGAGCATTTTGTCGTTCCTCACGTGCAAAGTTAACCGACTTTGTACACAAATAAAAGGATTACGAGCAGTCTTGCCAGAACAGTGCGCAATTTAATCCTTGAGAAAGGGCGGAAGGAGGGTAGAGCAAGTACCAATAGGATGCTCACACACTGCCTGATTCAGCGTGAGTAAAAAACGGAATTAATTATTACTATGTTCAGTATGCATATCGATAATTTTGTTAGTGGATATAATAAATTCCGAATAATTTCACATGGTTTAATTAACGAGCTGTTATATTGCTCGAGCTTTGATTTCCACGCAACATTTTTAATCCGGCAAAATCAAAGTGGTTTAAAAGCCCCAACAATCGCTTATTTTGAACAAAACAAATATTTAATATATATTCTCTTCTTCTTGAGGTCAAGAATAAAATTAACCTTCAGGACTGTCTCTGTTTGTGAAGCCTAACAAATGGTCGTCTTAATTTAATTTGGAATACTTATTTTATGTACCTATTTACCTACTCCAATGGGGGAAAAAAAGTATTTTATTATTCGTATTTCCAATATTTCGTTCAAATTTTATGTGATTATTAAACAAAGAAAAGCTTAGATCCTACCGAGGTTATTGTAATTAATTAAAAATAAAATAAAAACTAGTAGATGTCGAAAAAGCTTTTTAGTTAATAAAAATAAAAAGTACACTTTTGAAAAAAATATATATAAGCTAACTGAAACGATTTTGTGTACTTGAAAAAAAAAAACTTAAAATAAAATGAAAAACATATCGTAACCAGCCTGATGAGGCTTTGATGGACATGTTTATTGGGACTTGTGGGTGACCTGCTTTCAAAAAGTTATTTTTTTAATGTACTAGCTATTCTGATTTTTTTCCTAAACATCCTCTTCAGTAGATGCTCTCCATATCCTGGAGGCCTAAAATAAAGACCGAAGCTAATAAAAACTCAATGAAAAGTAAACATTTGTAACCAA